GACGCAGAGACCACGAGGGAAGGCATGTAGAGACGCCAGAAACTAGCCGTCTACAAGCTGAGGGGGACCTTGGGAGCACCCCCCCTGAGACACCTTGGGAATGGATTTCTGGCCTCCAGGACGGTGGGAACGTTCATTTCTGTCATCACACCCTGTGCTACTTTACTCTGCAAGCCTCACCACGAGACCTGGAAGGAAATGGATGTCTTACACGTGAGTTTTAGGCCCAGAACCAGTGTTACTTGATGGACTGAATTAGGGGTGGGGAATGGAGATTAGAGAAGTCAAGGATGACTCTCAGGTACCTGGTTTTAGTACTTTTAGAACAAATGTACTCAAAGTGTTTGACAAGAAACAATCTTAGAAATAAAAGGGCAACATTGGTTGAAGGCCTTGAAATCTGGAAAAGAAAGACGGAAATTATTTTTTTTCTGAGTTGCCTTATTAATCACAATGTTTTATTTATGTTCTGGGGGTTTGTTTTGTTTTGTTTTGTTTTGTTTTTTAAGTAGTCGTCACAACTGAAATGGGGACCCAACTGAGCAAGCCGGACACCCCAAGAAAGATGGGAATTAAATGAAATGGGATATGGGCGCCCAGCTGGCTCAGTCAGTACATCATGGGACCCTCAATCTCCGGTTGTGAGTTCAAGGCCCATATTGGGTGCAGAGACTACTTAAAAATAAAATCTTTTAGGGGCGCCTGGGTGGCGCAGTCGGTTAAGCGTCCGACTTCAACCAGGTCACGATCTCACAGTCCGTGAGTTCGAGCCCCGCGTCCGGCTCTGGGCTGATGGCTCAGAGCCTGGAGCCTGTTTCCGATTCTGTGTCTCCCTCTCTCTCTGCCCCTCCCCCGTTCATGCTCTGTCTCTCTCTGTCCCCAAAATAAATAAACGTTGAAAAAAAAAAATAAAAAAAAAAATAAAATCTTTTAAAAAAAGTTAAAAAAATTAAATGGATAATGTATGTGCAAATGTCAAGCAAATATAAGTCATTGTTGTTGACTTTACCATAGTTGTTGTTAGTGTCTGATACACAAGAATCTACTCTAGGTTGTTCTGGGAGAGCAAGGGTGGGACCAGCACTTGAGGGAAATGGGTATAGAATCATAGAAGATTGATGGGAGCAAGAAAGGCCAGAAGGAGCCTGGGAGACCAGCCAGGAATTGGCTGTAGGAATCGAGGTCTAAGCCGAGTAGTGTGTGATGTCTCTGGGAAGGTCAAAGGGACTGGAGACATTTAGTAAACATACATGTATATATCAAACAGTCAGAAAGGAGATGTAACTAAAACACCTGCCATTTTCTACATGGTCAGCAATCTTACCAAATTTCCTTCCTTCCTTCTTCTTGGGGGGGGGGGGGAGGGGGAAGGGTACAGAGGATCTGAAGTAGGCTCTGAGCTGACAGCACTGAGCCCAATGCGAGGCTCAAACTCATGAACCATGAGATGATGTCCTGAGCTGAAGTCAGGCACTAAACCGACTGAGCCACCCAGGTGCCCCTTACTGAATATTCTTAAAACCTTCTTGGGGTCAAGATCCATGGCTAGCACAACGCTTTGTACGAAAACTCAATAAATTTTGTAGATAGGTAATCTATCACACTTTCCTCTTTTTAAGGTAGTAGTATGGTGGGATACCTCTGGACCAGGAACTGGATATTCTTGCTCTGCCACAGAGGAGCTGTAGTTTTGGGCCATTTACCCCAGTGCTGCCCAACAGAGCTTTCTGAGATAAGGGGAGTGTTCCAGACCTGTGCTGTTTAATCCCAAAGCTACTAGCCATGTGTGTAGCTATTGAGCTAATACTACTAGCTTGAAACACGGCTAGTGTTATTAAGAAACTGAATTTTCTCTTTAGTATGTGAGTAGGGGTCACCACATTGGAGAGTGCAGGTCTCTCAAGACGCTGAGTTCCTCTGTGTAAAAGGAGAGAGCTGGGCGAAGCGATCTCTTTGGCTTTTAGTTAAAAAATGCTGTCATTCCAGTTCAATACAACCAATTCATGCATACATTGTAAGGGTTCAAATTTTGACCTCCAAAAACAAAATATTATTCTTAAAGAACGTTAAATTATACACTTTCACACCTAGAAAATATGTAAATAATTTAAATATGTAAGTGATGTAAAGTAAATGTGTAAATAATGATGTTCACAAATGGTAATCACGTATAGATGACGTTGTGTTTAGTGCAGCACAGTTATCTTACTGAGAAGAACACGGGGTCCCTGCAGAGGGTTCAGAAGACTGCAAGGAGGTGGTGAAGGACTTGATTAAGAAACAAGACAGGGGCGCCTGGGTGGCGCAGTCGGTTAAGCGTCCGACTTCAGCCAGGTCACGATCTCACGGTCCGTGAGTTCGAGCCCCGCGTCAGGCTCTGGGCTGATGGCTCAGAGCCTGGAGCCTGTTTCCGATTCTGTGTCTCCCTCTCTCTCTGCCCCTCCCCTGTTCATGCTCTGTCTCTCTCTGTCCCCAAAATAAATAAACGTTGAAAAAAAAAAAAAAAAAAACAAGACACTGGGTAAAGCTTAAGGAACTGGTATTGTTCAGAAACAAAGACTTAGGGAAGACTTATTAAAAATTACATTCACATTTACAGAGGGTTATTAGAAATGGTGTCCAGATGTTCTTCACGTATTAGAGCACTAGAAATATAGGTTAAAGAGGAAATAAGTTAGATACCGAGAGGCGCTTTCAGAGAGTTTCGTATATTAAATTCTCAAAAGAAATTTAATGGTTTTTAAACATTTCTTGTGCCACATATCATGTTGAAGATACACATATATCAAAACAATAGTCATGGGGCTCCTGGGTGGCTCAGTCAGTTGAGCTCCAACTCTTGATTTTGGCTCAGGTCATGATCCCAGGGTCATGGGATAGAGCCCTGTTGGGGCAGAGCCTGCTTGAGATTCTCTCTCCCTCTCTCTCTGCCCCTCCCCTGCTTGTTCTCTCTCTTTCTCTCTCTCAAAATAAATAAAAATTTAAAAAATACAATACTCACATAATATTAAAATATAAACAATTTGGAGTCAGTATTTAATGGATCTTTTAAAATAAGATTAATTGTCAGCTTTCTGATAAGATTCAAGACATCACTTTTGGAGATCCTTTACAACATAATTTTTTTAATTACCAAAGATATATTATGTGCTAGATACAAATATTTATAGAATAAATAATAAGATTAAGGGGATACTTAGCTATAAAACAGTGAAGATGATATTTACAAAACATGTTACTTACTATTTATAGAATAAAAACAGAATGTGAAGTGTAATATAAAGTTCTCAACATTAGCACGCATCAGAACCACCTAGAGGGGCTTAATCGGGGCTCAATCGGTTAAAACCCCGATTGTTGTGTTCACCCCTGGAGTTTCCGTAGGTCTGGGTTACGGCGTGAGAATGTCCATATCTTAAGTTTTCAGTGAGGCTGCTGCTGGTTTGGGCACCACACCTTGAGAACCACTGATAGAGAACATGGTGTCCTTAGTATTTTTAGAAGTCACCTTTTCATTTCCAGTATAATTTAGTAAGTAGAATACATGATGAGCTCTAGTAGCCTTTACTTTCAAGCCTGGACGTGGAAGGCACATGCTCTGTACTGTGCGCAGCCCCAGGAAGGCTCTTTGAAACTTCTAGGATGTGTCCCACAGGGGTCTGCCCTAGGCTGGTGGGGCTTCGTACTCCAAAGTTTTTCCCATCTAGTCCTCAGGACTCCCATGCAGATAACTTGAGACAGATTTTATAATAAAAGAAATCTAATTAAATGATTATTTTTAAGTAGACTCCATAGCCACTGTGGGCGCGAACTCACGACTCAGATCAGGCGTGGCCTGCTCCACCGACTGAGCGGGCTAGGCGCCCCTGATCTCGGGATTCTTAAGCCGCATGACGCCATAATAAAAACTCATTCATACTTGTTATTTTATGTACTCTTCATTATTATGCTGTGAAATAGGCATTATTACACCAATTACTGTCCCGGCCCGGCACATAATCGGTCCCCTACACGTAGGTAGACAAATGTTTCACGAATTTTCACCTGCTGTGAGCCAGATGCACAGTTCGCACCCGCGGCAAGACCCAGAAACAGAACAAGCCCGAGCTTGGGGGTTATTGAAGCCAAGAGCGCACAAAACCTGAGGGTGGTCGGGTGAGATCTCCAGGTTCAGTAGAAAGGGAGGCCTTGGGACCCTCAGACGGACAGGGGTGGGTTCTCTCTCCCTCTCTCCCTGCCGAGTCTCAAGTCAGACCCTCCCTAACTGCATAACCCACAGCCCTTGCGGTATGAAAACCCCTAAAAATATCTTGTCCCATCATTTGTTTTCCTAAACAACTCTGTATTTGGAATGAGATTCTGTGTCTTCATACTTTCAACCTGACTTCCCAAAGATCAACCCAGCTTTGTCCTTAACAGTTAACATTATGACCACATCACTGTAAACCACCACTTATTGGTTAATAGAAATAAATAAAAATTTCCTTAGGTAACAGGGGTCCTAAACCCCTTTATCATTCTGCATAAGTAAATCTGACAACACTTTTGAACTGCCTGAAATTAACTACACTATTCCTGATGGAGTGTTTGAGCTCTGGAATCTGACAGGTAGATTCAGATGTAGATCCATGTTCTAGCAGTACAACTGTAGTCAAGTTATTTAGCTTTTGTATGCCTGTTTCTTCATCTAGGAGAGATTTTTTTCTTTTTTTAAAGAGGATTGGAAGACCCTCATGAGGTCTCCGTCCATACACTTATTTGTTTCTAATGTCTATTTACTTAAGAGAGAGTGCATGGGGGGGGTGTGGGGGGGGAACGAGAGAGAAAGAGAGAGAGAGAGAGAAAGAGAGAGAATCCCAAGCAGGCTCTGAGCTGTCAGTGCCAAGCCCGACATCCCACAAGCTGTGAGATCATGACCTGAGAGGAAATCAAGAGTCAGATGCTCAACCGGAAGAGCCACCCATGTACCCCAGGAAATTAATGATTTTAACATGCATTGATTGCAATCCAATATAGTTGTATTCACAGATACACCAGATAATTACAAAATTTACTTAAATATTAATTCATAACCCACTGCAGCCAGTATCACTTGGTAAGAGGACGTTTACTTAGAGTTGTACAAAGCGTGCCTTCTTGCAATCATGTACGTACATCTCTGGGATGATGGTAAACTGGTGACTGGACTAGTGCAGTTATATAGATCTTGTTCAGTGAAATACATAGGGAATGGAATTGAAGGCAGAGATGATTATGAGGTTGAAGGAGTGAGTTATGATTTCTAAACTGAACTGGGAAAGAAGTGAGAACAAGGGAGTGACAGGTTGGTAGAAAAGAGGGAGACAATGCTATATGAGGCGTGAGTGATGAAACCAGAGAACCAAGTGGTTATTAAAAGAATAGTGTAACAGACCCTGATTTCCCAACTGGCGTATTTCTGAATATGACCGTGTGGACACAGGACCTGGTGGCTAAGGTGGAGCGGACGGGAAGGTCCACTGGAGTGGATGGAGTGCAAGTCGTTGTAGGAGTAGCATTTTGAGACAGTGACCTACACGGACACTGAAGATCATGATCTTTTTGTGATGAGCATCCCGTCTCCAGTGCCTTAAACTGGGAATCGCTCCAAAAGCAGAGCTGGAGAGGAAGAGAGAGGACCAAGGACTGAATGCATGTTATCTTTATCCATTATTAACCTGTGACTGAAATTTTAGATAAAAAATAGTAAATGACAAATCTTGGTTAGTGTACAGACGTACTCAGAGAACATAAAATCACTCCTCTTCCAATCCACTCATCACAGGAATTTTGTTCTCAGTTTAATGGGAGATGTAAAATATTGAGCAAAGCAACCTCTGCTGTACCCTGAGCCCTGTAACTGGTGTCCCCAGCCACAGAGGTTCTAGTTAAGGGACAGCTTCCATTAAAGCCCTAGATTTTCTATCACTTTGGTTCTTGAAAGTTTAAGTTTTTAATGCAGTTTCTGCCCACAGGCTTTGTTCGTGTAGATTGACTATTGGATGTGAGGGGAAGAGACTGACAGTAGGGTCCCGGAGAGGCCACAGCACAACACATGGGGCAAGTGATCAATGACAGGTACACAGAACTGTACTCAGATGCCCTCAGAACATCTGAGTACTCAGAACTGTACCCAGATGTACCAGATGCCCTCAACTGGGGGAAGGGCCGACTTTATGCCCACTGGCTCATTTAAGGCTTCAACAGTTGAGGTAGGTGTTATTACTCTGACCCCGATGTTAAATTAAAGAACAGGAAATGAGTAATGCGCCCAACGTGTCATAGCTACTAAATGGAGGAAATGGGATCTGAACTCATATCTCCCTAACTCTAGAAGCTACAAGTCTGTGCTTAAATGGTCTTGACGTTTGGGGCTGGGAAGAAGTCCCAGAGGCGATCATGGGTCTACTGACGCAGATCCCTTTGGAGGAAAGTG